AAAATAGAAGCATATACCGTGCTCATGGATTGGAAGAATTATTGTCATCAAAATGTCCATACTACCCAAAGCAATTTATAGATTCAACGCAATCCCTCTTAAGATACCAATGACGTATTTCACAGAAATAGAACAGACATTTCAAAAATTTATATGGACCCATAAACGACCCTGAATAGCCACAGCAATTTTGAGAAAGAAACACAAAATAGGCGAGATCAAAATACCGGACATCAAACTCTACTACAAAGCCACTATACTCAAAACAATCTGGTACTGGCACAAGAACAGACCCATAGACCAGTGGAACAGAATAGAAAGCCCAGAAATAACCCCAGGTCTCTATGGGCATCTAATATTTGACAAAGGGGGTAGAAGCATAAAATGGAGCAATAATAGCCTCTTCAACAAATGCTGTTGGGAGAGCTGGACGGCTACATGCAAAAAATTGAAATTGGATCATCAGCTGACACCATACACAAAAATAAACTCAAGATGGATAAAAGACATAAATATAAGTCACAACACCATCAAAGTCCTAGAGGAGAACATTGGCAGGAAACTCTCAGATATCCCACGCAGCAATTTTTTCACCAATAGGTCTCCTAAAGCAAGGGGCATAAAGGAAAGGATAAACAAGTGGGACATCATCAAAATAAGAAGCTTCTGCACGGCTCAAGAAAACATCAGCAAAATGAAAGGGGAGCCAACCATATGGGAAAATATATTCGCTAATGTTACATCAGATAGAGGTTTGATCTCCAAGATATATAAAGAACTCACTTGACTCCACTCCAGGAAGACAAATGATCCAATCAAAAAATGGGCAAAGGACTTGGGCAGAGACTTTAGCAAGGAAGAGATTCAGAGGGCCCAGAGGCATTTGAAAGGATGCTCAGCATCACTAGTCATCAGAGAAATGCATATCAAGACCACCTCATACTGGTCAGAATGGCCATCATAAACAGGTCAACAAACAACAGGTGCTGGCGAGGCTGTGGAGAAAAGGGTACCCTAGTACACTGTTGGTGGGAATGCAGACTGGTGCAGCCATTGTGGAAAACAGTGTGGAATTCCCTCAAAAAGCTGAAAATGGAACTGCCTTTTGATCCAGTGATTCCCCTGCTGGGACTCTACCATAAGAATCCCATAACGCCAATTCCAAAGAACCTATGCACCGCAATATTCATAGCAGCACAATTTACAATAGCCAAGTGTTGGAAGCAACCTAAATGCCCATCAGTAGATGAGTGGCTCAAAAAACTCTGGTACATTTACACAATGGAATACTATGCAGCACAAAGAAAAAGAGAACTACTAAACTTCGCGACAGCATGGATGGAACTGGAGAGCATTATGCTAAGTGAGATAAGCCAGCGGGCAAAAGAGAAATACCATATGATCTCACTTATAAGCGGAACCTAATCAACAATACAAAGATGCAAGGAAAGTAAGACCAGCAACACTGAAAGGAAAAGAAACCAACAGATACAAGAGGGAAGGAGGGAGGGGTGGGGGGGAAAGGAAGGGAAATGGAAAGTCAAGGATCATATAGCAACGACTCTTGGACAGACCCAAAGGGGAAAGATGGATGGATGGAGGGGTGAGGGGTAAGGAAAGTAGTAAGGGGCAGCAGAGACAAATGTATTTGAAAAAATAAAAAAAAAAGATTAAATCTTATTTCCTCAATTGTACTAGCCATATTCCATGTGTTCAGTAGCCAAATATGGTTATTGGCTAGTACAGTGCACTGTGCAGATATAGAATATTTCCATCATTGCAGAGAGCTCTTTTGGATGTTTCAATGAGTTTGTCTGTGTGTGCGCACGTGTGTATTTTAATTTGGCATATATTGTTGGCTTGGACTCAACTGATGTATAGATTCAGTGTATTCTGTTAAACTGGCATAGGACATTCTATTTTATTAATGCACCACATTTTTCTTTTTTCCTATTTCTTCCTAACTGGACATTGGAGTTGTTTTTCACTTCTATTATAAATAATGCTTTAGTGAACATCTTTCTCTAGAATAAGTATCTAAAAATGAAAACGCGCTGTCATGAAGAGTGCACATCTTCAATATTTCTAGATATTGCCAAAATACTCTCCAAAGTGTTTGTATTGACTTTACTCCTATGAATAGTGTGTTAAAAAATAAATTTTTTGCCAACAAAAAAAAATAAAATAATACACTGAACCTAAGTCTCATATATATATAAGAACACTGTGGTTGATCACTCTTACTCCAGCACATAGAAACCTACCAGGCAAATCCATACATTCAAGGGGGAAAAAATTAACAGCTCATGTCCACATACCTGGCCTTCCTGTTAGAATTCCTCTTGAGTTTCATGGAAGGTAAAAGTTACGTAAATGATTTTAAATAGCCAAGACTTTATAGGGTTAAAGATTGCATGGAAATAAATCTTCTGTTGTTGATTTACCTAAGCTGAGTAAATTATGGTCATCTCATTCTATGAAATATTAGGCTGCTATTAATAATGAAAAGTATGAAGACTATCAACATGTAAAAATTTCTAGAACAGTATCAAAGGAACAAAAATGAAGATTATGTAAAAATATGGTACATATACATACAATTGAAGGAAAATAGAAATATCAGTTATATTTTGGTAGCCAAATTGAGAGAAATTTTTCATCTTTAATTTCTTTAATGCTGGTTTAATGAATTATTTAACTAGTGTTTTAAAGCTGTTTATCTATATATTATAAAATAATTAAGTAAACTATATCTCTTTTTCATAGCTATAACCCACAAAAACTTTTAGATGTATTTTTTTAATCTTTTAGATCTCTCAATTTTCATTACTCTAAAGCCAACCTAGAAGTCAAAAGCTGCAAAATCTTTTATCTCTGCTTCTGGGATAGGCAACACAGGGAAGCCTTCTTCCTGCTTCAACTTCTGCCTCTAGATCTGACCTGCTATAAAGGCAGGACAGATGAGGATATTAGACTCAATCAAGGGAGTTCTATCTTACTGAACCTCTGTAATTTTGTATTCTTTAAGCCCTAAGTTTTTGTATTCCCCAAGGAAGTCAAATGCTTGAAGACTTATCTCAGATCCGTGACTCACCCCGTACCTTCTTAATTCCTCAACCCTGGAGAATATAGTGCTTAGTATTGTATTACACCTTGTCAAGAGCAAGCCAAACCTGAAGTGGTGATTATATCTCTAAAAATAAAAAAGCACTTGTTTCTCAAGAAGAAAACTAGTATTTATTGAATACTTGTGAGCCTGGCACTGTACTAAGCACTTTATATATGCTATATGAACTACCACAGACCCACATAACCAGTTCCTAGAGTGAGCCAAGGAAATCTGCATTTGTAACAAATATCCTAATTAATTCCTAAACACACACAAGTTTGAAAACCAAAGGTCTAAGGGCCAGTGCTTTTCAAACTGTGAATGACTATTCGTGGGCTATGATCTACATTTTAAAAATATATATAATGGAAAGTATTTGAGTACACTGTATGCAGTAAGTACTTATTCTGCAAAACAGTTATCAGTTATATATCTGTATTATGTACTGGGTCACAATATAGAATTTATTTATGAACTAAGAATCACAGCCAAAAGGTCTGAAAAGCATGAGCTAGGCATTATGGACTCAGAATAATTCAAAATGAGGCAGAATATAAACAAAAAAGCAAGCAAGGAGATAGCATAAACACATATAACTTAAGCTCCATAAGTACCTAGTAAAACAAAAGTAAAGACACTTAAACTCTGTTCATCTATAGGAATAAATGGCAAGGAACAAAAATATGGGGGAGGAGGAATAAGGGATATTATGGTACAGGCAGCTTAGCCAAAAAGCCAATAACTTAAATTTAGAGAATAATAAATATTCTACCTCAGTTTTTATTTGTTTACTGTGGTAACAAGTAAAATGACAAATTACCCAAGCTTCCCTATCCCCGTCACCAGAAAAGGTGGAAGTTAGAAAAACATGATAGCAGAAAGAAGGGAAGCAGTTTACTTAATTCATTATCGAATTCCAAGCCCTGGATAACCAAAAATAGCCATCCGTTAAAAGCATTCTCTCCTTGCTCACAAAACTCAAATAAGAAATGCAGGATCCAATCAGAGAACAGAGTTAATCAGTTCCAAACACTCCAAAAATTTACTGAGCCATCTCTATTTTCCCTCTTTGATTAAAACTAAACTACAGAATCTATGGGAACCTACGGTCACAAGTGTACCTCTAGTGAAGTGATGACACTCAGATTTCCAAGCAGTAACAGCCGGAAGCACACCTGCGTTTCTCCACTCTCAGGCAGGAAAGCGGGTCACCCGGTCCTGAGATGTCCCCCGGAGTAGGAGCCACAGAGAGCTCCAGCTGGTGCCTAACAAGACCCACGTGGCAGCCAAAGGGGTTCTCCTACTTCGGCTCCGGACCCACAACCGTAAGGAAAAAAGTGTGACTCCACTCTACACACATGAACTCTAAGCTACGACGGAACCAAAAGTCGTGTCTCTGTCGCAGGGTGGGGAGGAATCGTGGCGAACAAGTGTAGAGAGGCAAAACCTCTGAACTTCCGGACCGCCGAGCCTACCCTTACTCTCCCGCTGCTCCAGAGTTGTCCGATCTGGAATTCAGGTGACGGAAAAGCTTAATGAAGAGCAAGCCTGCGGATGACCCCGGACAAACAAAAACCCTTGGTGGCTAGCGCGGCTGCCGATCACTATGAGGGCCCCAAAGTAATTGGGTCACGGCCAGACAGGCAGGCTGGGACCTACTCCGGCCGGAAATAACCGGACTCCACAGTGGACCGGTTCCCGCTGGAGTGACGCCAGCCAAGACAAAGGCTAGCTCGTGGACCTAGATAAGTAGAAAGGCCAGCCCTTGACCTTGACTGGCAAGCGCTCGGATTGGTTGATTTTGGTATTGTTTCAAAGGAGACTCTTCCACGATTGGCCACGAAAGTCAAGCGGGAACCCGGAGGTGTGGGTGGGCGGGGGAAAACAACGTTGTTACCCAGGCAACAGACTCAGAGCTCTGGGCTATTTTCTGAGCCTAGCCTGCGACCAGAAAACTGACCCAGGTGAGGAACCCATACCTTACGTGGGGGGAAAAAGGGGTCCTTAGATCCGTGGCTATCAGAGGAAAGCGGGGAGAACTCTAGATACTTAACAACGCTGAAAATAGCCGCCGCTGCCCACCCCAAAAGCCGCAAGTTGCAGATGGAACAGATCCTAAATTCCCCTGCCCGAGACACTCTAAGCAAAAAGCCTTAACAAAACTCAGTCTTATCAGAATGTGAGTTATAGAGGGAGCAGTTTTACCATACAGGGTATGGATGCTGATAGAATGTCAGAAAGTCAAAATAAACAAGTGTAGGCTTCCCAATGCCTTTTACTCCACCCTCCCACAGTTACGGTTGTAACACGAATTTCAGAGTGAAAACTACGTGTCCTTATGGGTAAATCTGAGTGCTCCAAGTAGGAGCAACCACCGTACCTTGTTTTATACGTATAGGTATGATTTATCCTGGACTGGCACGTCTTTGTTGGGATATATTTTTTAGGGGGTATAACGCTGAAAAAAAAATTAGCCCATGCTATTGTTATTTGGACAACGTTCCGTGTGTGAGAACGTGAACGACATGGCCTGAGGGTTCCAACAGACTTTGATCAGATCCCTTGAGGAATGAGAGGCAGTCAGTCCATACTTAGTAGACTGGAGTATAGCATACAAAGACAACTTCTACCTACCAAACCTGCTACTCATCAAGAGCTAATTGGGAAAGTATGTCCCTGTCATTAGGTGAGAAACTATCAAAAAATGAAATTTGAGTGAGGGGAGAAAACTCAATTTGACCAGAGAGAGGTGGGGATCATTTCTCCTGAGCTTCCTGTTATGGAAAGGATTCAAGACAGACACTGTTTCCTAAAGAAATGGAGAAAAGAGGCCTCTTGGGGAAAATTTTTCAAAGTACTGAACGAAAATTTTCTGCCCCAACTACTTTTTAGATAGAGGTGAAATATATTGACAATGAGACACAGAAACGAAAAAATATTGACAAGTGTGTTAAGTTTGACTAAAATAAGGATTAAATCAAAAGAAACTCATTTCTTGACCTTTAGATTAATGAAAAATTCCAGGTACTTTAAAAAATTATCTTGCATTAAATATATTTTAAATTTGTAACAAAACTCTGTTAAGTCCTTGTAGTTCTTCATGCCTTGGTACTTTGAATGGCAGTGAAATTTAGAGACATAAAAAAAGAAATAATTCTTGGTTTTGTAAAAATAAAGATGAACTATTTTTTATGGACATGGATTCATGGACGTGAATAGTTGTGAAAAAATGTTAAAAAAGGAAACAATTAGACAGTATATTATAATTAAATTAAGACATAAATTAAGAATCTATGTTATTTTATTCCAACATAACTTGGAAATTAAAAAGTCCAATTCATAATATGCTTCATATATATAGAGTGCATCTATAAATTATTGTATATGATTTATTTAACAAATACACTCAAACATATACACCACAAGGAGTGGCATTCCCTTCAAAACAGTTGGTAGACTATCCACTTATTCAAATATTCCTGTTATTGCTCATATTACTTTGGAAACTACTCTTTTATAACTGCCTTGAGGGCAGTAGCACATTCTCTTGAATCTTCAGAATAGCAAATCTTCACATTTTGAAAGTAGATGTGATATCTAGATACATCTAGGAATTACTTGGTACAAATTTATGTTTAATTAACCTGAGTGATACCGTAACGGTACCTATTTTCTTGGTGGTACATACGAAGGCAATTACAAAATATTTTGAGCATTGATAGCATCATTTGTATCAGTGTATAACCTTCCAAAGGGACTACTTTAAAAAATAACATTTGTATGAATTTAATCATGCTTCATTTAGTATTCATCAACTGCTGACTACATGCCAGCTTCAGTAATTGAAGACATTTAGCCTACAGGTATAGCTTCCCACTGCCTACACTGTCCTGCCTCTCACCAAATGAGAAGCAGGCCAGAGCTCCTTCTCAGCACTGGGATTTAGAATTAATCTACTTTCCCTAAATCCAGTATCCGGTGTACCCACTGAAGCACAGGCTTTCTTTATAACCTATATTGGGGATGCCCACGTGGCATGAAGAAGCCTCTAATGCAGGGTCTGCTTTGTTTTCTTCTTCCCAGCTGTGACTTTGAGTCCTGCCCTATTCTAAACCTTCATCTAGCTGCCAACTCTCCTCACGAACTAGAATCTGCCTCCTATCCCCTCACCTATCGGCCAGGGTCCTACTTCCCCCTAAGTGGGCCTCCCTGTAACCTTGACTATTCAACCTTCCCGCCCTGAAACTCTGATCACATCCCAAAACTCCCCCAGCCATGTTTCTGCCTAGCAGATCATGATGAATTAATAGCATTTTGATTATTATCTCAGATACTATATTTGGGACTTCTGAATACCCTTCTTCCAGGTTAGCTCTACTGGTTTCAGTTTATTTCCCCTCTCATCAGCCCACCATTGAGGTCTCACAAGTCTCATCACAAATATCTGTGGGTTCTGGTGCCAGTACAAGTATCATGTGCCAGACAATAGTGATATTTTTGCATAGCTTTTCATAATGTAGCAAACTCTCAAATACGTTGCATAAAATGGCATCATAACAATTCTATAAAGTAGGTAATGTTGAAATAATAAAAATTTTTGCTATATTTGTTTTTTAAAATTCTCACTGTACAATCTCAACTCAAAATACTAATTATATCATTGCATCTGATGTTTGGATCCATTTTCCCCTTTTGTTGTCAAAGGATATAGAATCCTTCAGTTTAAAAACTTTTTGCTTTTAATTTAAGTAAATATTATTCATTTCCATAGCAGACTACCAGTCCCTACTGTGAGAAAAGACTATTTTATCACCTCTTATTTTACGTTTTCCAATTTAATGAGTTCCCAATGAAATAAGTTTTATCATTAACTTATTTAACATAGTTATTAGAAGTGATATTCATGTCCAGGAATATTAAATTTTTAAAGGACCAATAACAGCTCACATATGTTGAGTGCTAAGTATGTGCCAGGCACTGTTCTAAGCTCTTTTACAAGTATGGAACTGCTTAATCCTTGTAACAACACTATGAGGTAGCACTATTAGTATTCTCATTTCATAGATAATAAAAATAAGACATTGAGAGTTTAAATTATATGCCAAAAGTGACAAAGCTAGAAAGTAAATGATACATAACAAATCTAGGCAGTGTGGCTCCAGAGCCCTAACTCTTAACCACTATGATATACTGCCTCTATGCTTGTATGTACAGGGCAATTTGACATTTGACTCATATTCTTGACATCTCCTATAATCATTAAAATCAGTTTTACATTTAGAAAATAAAAATAATGGTAAAAATTATAATGAAACGGAAGGTTTATAAAACACGATTTGCATGTACGCTGATTTTGACAGGTGATCATACCAGTACGCATTTGAGAATTTCTTTTGTATTCCTGTTCTAGGCACAATGCAAAAAATTTAGTGATTTAATTAAAGCACTAAAGTACTGTTTAATGTGAATTAATTTTATAAAACAATGTTTAAAATAATCAGGAGAAGTATAAAAATGATTCCTAATACATTTATGCCTAAATCACTAATAATAGGCCTAATTCTACACTCTTTATTCAGGTTAGCCATTCAAGTCTGACACTTCCATCATTTTCAAAGATCCTGAATTCCTACTCCAAATATAACTATAGAGATTATTTAAAAAACTGATATCTGGTTAGTAGGATTATATGTAGTTGTGATTTTCTTATTTATACTTTTAGTGTATTATTTCCTAAAATTTTCACAACACACTTATACTGTATCATCATTATAATCAGAAAAACAATTTACTCTGTGTGAATTTTTTTCTTTTTTTTAATTTACTGAATTTATTGGGGTGACATTGGTTAACAAAATTATATAGGTTTCAGAGGTACAATTCTATAATATGTCATCTGTACATTGTATTGTGAATTCGCTACCCCAAGTCAAGTTTCCTTCTATCACCAATTATGCCTCTTTTACCCTGTCCTACCTACCCCCACACCATCTTTCTTTCTAATAATCACCATACTGTTGTCTTTATATGAGGTATTTTTTCCCTTAATCCCTTCACCTCCTTTTATCCAACACTTCTACCCCCTCTCTCTAGAGCTGCCAGTCTGTCTATGAGTCTGTTTCTATATTGTGAGCCAGCCCATTTGAGTTCTCTAATGGCAATAAAATGCTAGGTATCATCTACGGTTAATCAAAAGTTTAAATAAAGCAGAAAGTACAGGCTTACCTAAGCCAAAAGTATGAAGTAAGTTCCTTGAGTCATACCCTAGAGCAAACATTCTTTTCAGTTTACCAAATGGAATATATAGCCTAGACAGCATACATGAGACAGATAAAAAGGTAGTTTACACAAGTACGTTTCTAAATAATTATGTACATTCTATATAACACTGACTCTACTTTCTCTGGAGGTAAGGCTAAAAATCTGCATTTTAACCAACTCTGCAAGTATCCTTAAGCACACTAAACCTTAGAACCACTATAATAGGTGCTCAATAAATGCTTTTTAAATTGAGCATGAAGTTTGAGTAAAGTAAGCTGAATTCTTGACTTCATTTGCCACCCCTGGGCTGTCTGTGAGTCGGCAAATTACATGCATAACTGAAGGAGTTTACAAGGATTTTCAAGGAAGAATAAGAAATAATGGAGTGACCTCGGGAAAGAAGGGAGATTTGACAATAAAAAAAAATGTGTCTTGAATAAAATAGAAAACTAAAATACCTCTTTCTGATTATTTTCTTCCTCAGAACATGGACCTGGAAAATATGGAACCCAAATATACAGAAACTGAAAACATGAAATCAGAAAATATGAAAACTGAAACTATTTCTTCAGTTTCAACTCTGCAAGCCCTTTCTAAGCTACTTTATCCTGAAGAGGATGATTTTGAGTCAGAACAGGTGGTTGTATACTTATAGATGAATTCGTCTTGTTCACAATATGCTGTGAAACTGTTACTTGGACAACTTGTTCCAACCTTGCTATGAGAGTAAGGCTATGTAATTTGATGTATTTGCAGGAGGTTGCAGGGCTGATCATTCATGAGAGCAAAACCTTTAGTGCATTTCTAGAAAACATAATTATATATTTTTTTCTAAACTACCTGAATGCTAAATAGGAAAATCATTCTGTAACTATGGTAACAATAGCCACATTTCAAAAGGTTTGTCATTTATATTTATGGCCAAAGAATGCTTGACAATCATTACAAAGTGTGATAGCTAGGATTTTTAAGCATAGACAGTATTTCTATAAAACCAATAATTTCAATAAACAATATTAATTATTCCACCCAAATACAGTCCTCTTATTTTTTTTATTTGTATACACATGAAAGCAGAACAGAAAATATTTTGAGCCAAATAAGGGGACGAACTACCTGCAGCCTACTAAAATTGGCTTCCTGGTACATGCTCATATAGAGCTATGGAATGTAATTACATAGTTGAATAGCATTGGGGGTCAGGACAGGTAACCCCAGGGAAGCTTGCAGCAACAAAGATAGACTACATTTTGAGTAGGAGAGTTCCATGAGCTGACCTTTGGCCACACCACAGTTACTGCCAATATTCCCAGCATAATCAAAATACATTTTATGCAACCCCTTGTTCTCCATTTCCTACTCCTTAGATATCAGCAAATTTTGGCTATTAGACTGCCTGAAACAAACAAAATTTAGGGCATAAATCTCATGCTATAGCAGAATATATCTATTTGCTTTCACTTTAATAAAGATTTTTCCATTATTATGACAAGTTTACCATGAGCAAACTATTTCCCATGAAAATGCATATCAGTTTGCTCCTCCCAAAATTCTTCTTTGCTATAGTGTGGAAAAACCATTATAATCAGAATAGGCAGCAAATTTAGTGTCACAGATGCACACTGGATCTAGCTTCCACCCTTCAAGAAGAGCTTAGGTGGAACAGGGCAGAATCAAGTAAAATGTGCAATGGAAATAAAATTTGTAGAAGAGGGAAACTGAATCAGCTTGGAGCCAGGATCAGGAATCAAGTCTTCTGAGTCAGGGAAAAGTCTTAGTAGAGGCCAAAAATAAAGAAAAATCTGATGTTAATAACACCTTAAATATATACAATAAATAAGACACAGTATAAAAAGTTAGGAGCATATATCAATGAAGTTGGGAAGGCAAACTCATTTTTGTGGCCTTAACTGAAATAGAATGAAACATCCTGGGAAAGGTGTGGTTATATCAGATACAAAAAGTACATTAAGTGTTTGAGGAACAGTGCTCTGGAACACAGGTAAGTGGAACTTTTATTTGAAATAGATCCACAAATAAGAAATTACCCTGGTAACAAAGCACATTCCCTTTGGCATTTAAGTATGGAGATATTTATTTGCATCTAGAATAGTTTCTCAGGTAAAGATGAGTGCTTATGAGAATAGAGAGACTAGGACTGTTTTACCAAACTGCACTATTTATAGAGGAAAATTACTGTAATAATGTATGATTCAGTATATCTGTATTATAAGCAATTTTGAGATAATTGGTCATTCACACACCTCAATACAGATATCATTAAAGGATAGAGAATTAGATTGCCAGACAATGGGAAAATAATTAATGTTTTCCTTTTTTTATTTTTTTTAGCAATATTTTTTAAAATTTATTTACTTTTTAAATATATTTGTCTCTGCCTTCCCCCCACCTCTTTCCCTTGCCCTCTCCCACCTTCCCTCCCTCAGCTCTTCCCCTTTGGTTTTGTCCATGAGTCCTTGCTATATGTTCCTTGACTTTCCCCTGCCCTTCTCTTTCCCTGCCCCCCCCTCCCTCTTATCTCTGTTGATTTCTTTTCCTTTCAGTGTTGCTGGTCATATTTTCCTTGCATCTTTGCATTGTTGGTTAGGTTCCGCTTATAGGTGAGATCATATGGTATTTGTCTTTTGCCCCCTGGCTTATTTCGCTTAGCATGATGCTCTCCAGTTCCATCCATACTGTCGCAAAGTTTAGTACTTCTTTTTTTCTTTCTGCTGCGTAGTATTCCACTGTGTATATGTACCATAATTTTTTGATCCAGTCATCTACTGATGGGCATTTAGGTTGCTTCCAACACTTGGCTATTGTAAATTGTGCTGCTATGAACATTGGGGTGCATAGGTTCTTTTGTATTGGCGTTTTGGTGTTCTCAGGGTATAGTCCCAGCAGGGGAATCGCTGGATCAAAAGGCAGTTCCATTTTCAGCTTTCTGAGGAAATTCCACACTACTTTCCATAGTGGCTGCACCAGTCTGCATTCCCACCAACAGTGGACTAGGGTTCCCTTTTCTCCACAGCCTCGCCAGCACCTGTTGTTTGTGGATCTGTTTATGATGGCCATTCTGACCGGTGTGAGGTGGTAGCTCATGGTAGTTTTGATCTGCATTTCTCTGATGGCTAGTGATGCTGACCATCCTTTCAAATGCCTCTCGACCCTCTGTTTCTCCTCCTTGGAAAAGCGTGTGCCCAAGTCCTTTGCCCATTTTTTGATTGGATCATTTGTCTTCTTGACGTGGAGTCGAGTGCATTCTTTATATATTTTGGAGATCCAACCTCTGTCTGATGTATCATTAGCGAATATAGTTCCCATACAGTCGGCTCCCTTTTCATTTTGCTGATGTTTTCTTTCGCCGTGCAGAAGCTTCTTATTTTTATGAGGTCCCACTTGTTTATTCTTTCCTTTATGTCCCTTGCTTTAGGAGACATATCAGTGAAAAAATTGCTGCGTGGGATACCTGAGAGTTTCCTGCCAATGTTCTCCTCTAGGACTTTGATGGTGTTGCGACTTATATTTAAGTCTTTTATCCATCTTGAGTTTATTTTTGTGTATGGTGTCAGCTGATGATCCAATTTCAGTTTTTTGCATGTAGCCGTCCAGCTCTCCCAACACCATTTGTTGAAGAGGCTGTTATTGCTCCATTTTATGCTTCTGCCCCTTTGTTGAATATTAGATGTCCATAGAGACCTCGGCTTATTTCTGAGCTTTCTATTCTGTTCCACTGGTCTATGGGTCTGTTCTTGTGCCAGTACCAGATTATTTTGAGTATGGTGGCTTTGTAGTAGAGTTTGATGTCCGGTATTGTTATCCCTCCTACTTTGTGTTTCTTTCTCAAAATTGCTGCGGCTATTCAGGTCGTTTATGGTTCCATATAAATTTTTGAAATGTCTGTTCTATTTCTGTGAAATATGTCATTGGTATCTTAAGAGGGATTGCGTTGAATCTATAAATTGCTTTGGGTAGTATGGACATTTTGAGGATATTAATTCTTCCAATCCATGAGCACGGTATATGCTTCCATTTATTTGTGTCTTCCTTAATTTCTTTTTTCAATGTTGTATAGTTTTCTGCATACAGATCTTTTTTGTCTTTGGTTAAATTTATCCCTAGGTACTTTATCTTTTTTCGTGCTATATCGAATGGTATATTTTTCCTGATTTCTTCTTCTTCTATTGCATTGCTGGTGTACAAAAACGCCTTTGATTTCTGAGTGTTGACTTTGTATCCTGCTGTTTTGCCAAATTCACTTATTAGGTTGAGGAGTTTTTGGGTAGAGTCTACAGGGTTCTCTATGTACACTATCATGTCATCTGCAAACAATGATAGTTTTACTTCCTCCTTTCCTATTTGGATGCCTTTTATCTCTTTCTCTTGTCTGACCGCTGTGGCTAGGACTTCCAATACGAAGTTGAAAAGAAGCGGTGAGAGCAGACATCCTTGTCGTGTTCCCGATCTTAGTGGGAAAGCTTTCAGTTTTTGCCCGTTGAGTATGATATTAGCTGTAGGTTTTTCATATATGGCCTTTATTACGTTGAGGAATGCCCCATTTATTCCCATTTTGCTGAGTGTTTTGATCATAAATGGGTACTGTACCTTATCGATTACTTTTTCTGCATCTATTGAGATGATCATGTGGTTTTTGTCTTTTCTTTTATTTATGTGATGTATCAAGTTTACTGATTTGCATATATTGAACCATCCCTGCATCCCTGGGATGAATCCCACTTGATCGTGATGGATAATCTTTTGAATGTATTGCTGGATGCGGTTTGCCAATATTTTGTTGAGGATTTTAGCATCTATGTTCATCAGCGAAATTGGCCTGTAGTTTTCTTTCTTTGCAGGGTATTTATCTGGTTTTGGGATCAGGGTGATGCTGGCCTCATAGAAGGAGTCTGGGAGTCTTCCCTCCTCCTGGATTTTTTGGAATAGTCTGAGAAGGACGGGGCTTAGCTCTTCCTTAAATGTTTTGTAAAATTCTCCTGGGAAACCGTCTGGCCCTGGGCTTTTGTGTGCCGGGAGTTTCTTGATCACTGCTTCAATTTCCCCAGTTGTTATCGGTCTGTTCAAGCTTTCTGTTTCTTCCTCCTTCAGTGTTGGAAGATTATACTTTTCTAAAAATTTGTCCATTTCATCAAGATTTTCAAATTTCTTCGCATATAATTGTTCATAATAGTTTCTGATGAATATTTGTATTTCTGTGGTATCGGTTGTTATTTCTCCTCTTTCATTTCTGATATTATTAATTTGGGACCTCTCCCTTTTTTTCTTGATAAGTCTGCTTAAAGGCTTGTCAATTTTATTAATATTTTCAAAGAACCAGCTTCTGGACTGGTTGATCCTCTGAATTGTTCTTTTTGTCTCTATGTCATTCAGTTCTGCTCTCATCTTGACTATTTCCTTCCTTCTACTTGCTCTGGGATTTATTTGTTGTTGTTTCTCCAGTTCTTGAAGTTGTAGTGTTAGGTCTTTTATTTGAAATGTTTCTATCTTTTTAAGGTAAGCCTGTATTGCTATGAACTTCCCTCTCAGGACCGCCTTTGCTGTGTCCCATAGGTTTTGGACAGTTGTCTGTTCATTTTCATGTGTTTTCAGAAATTTTTTGATTTCTTCTCTTATCTC